CCGTGGCTCACTCGGGAGAGTGCGGTGCTGATAACACCAAGGCCCCGGGTTCGGATCCCATATACGGATGGCCGGTTTGCTCACTGGCTGAGCGTGGTGCTGACAACACCAAGTCAAGGGTTAAGATCCCCTTGCCGGTCATCTTTAAAAAAAAAAAAAAAATACATAGGCAATGATAAAAGCTAGTATTGTTGTAACTTCAGTTTATACCTCCACTTTCTGTTTTCTACATAATTTAAGAGATTAATTCATTAAAAAACAATTATTAGTCTATGTTTCTGGATACACAATGGATAAAGACATAATTTTGTGACATCAATAGCTGAAAGAGGGTGGGGACAAGGCTGTACAGGAACAGAATTTTTATTTGTTACTGAACTAAAGCTGAAATAAATTCAAATTAAAGTGTTATAACTTTAGGATGTTAAATGTAATCCCTATGATAACCATTAAGAAAGTAGCTATAAAATATACACAAAAGGAAATGAAAAGGGAATTAAAAAGTTTTACTACAAAAATTCAACCAAACAAAAAAGAAGATTGCAATGCAGGAAATAAGGGGAAAAAAAGCAATAAGACAACAAACAGTGAAATGTCAACAGTATGACCCTTCTTATCAGTAGTACTTTAAATATGTATAAATGTAAATGAATTAAACTCTCCCAATCAAAAGGCAAAGATTGGCCAAATAGATTTTTAAAAATAATAACGTGATTCTCCTCTATGCTGTGCACAAGAGACTCACTTTAGATATAAAGACACAAGTCGGATGAAAGTGAAGGGATAGAAAAAGATACTCCATACAAATAGTAAAAAAAAGAGAACTGGGGTAGGTATGCCAATATCAGAAAATATCAGACAAAATAGACTTTAAATCAAAAAAGGTTATAAGGGACAAAGAAGGAATTATATATTAAAAGAAGATTCAGGGCCAGCCTGGTGGCGCACTGGAGAGTGCGCCGCTTGGGAGTGCGGCGGCGCTCCCGCCGAGGGTTCAGATCCCATATGGAGACCAGTTCCCGCTCACTGGCTGAGCCCAGTGTGGGCACAACACCTAGGGTTGTGATCCCGTTGCCGGTCCCCGGTACGGGCGCGACACCGAGGGTTGCGATCCCGTTACCGGTCAGTAAAAAAGACAAAAAGGAAAAAAAAAATAGAAGATTCAATAGAGCAAAAAGATATAACAATTACATTTACACACCTAATAACAGACCACTGAAATATATGAAACAAAAATTGACAGAATTGGAGAGAGGAATAGACAGTTCTATAGTAATTGAAGACTTCAAAGCCACACTATCAGTAATGGATAGAACACACACCTGGACAGAAGATAAGTGAGAATAGAGGACTTGAACAACACAATAAACCAACTAGATCTAGTAGACATGTACAGAACGTTCTGCCTAACAACAACAGAATGCACACTTTTCTCATGTGTACTTTAGATGTTATGTTATATGTTATTCCACAAATTGTCTCAATAGATTTAGAAAAACAGATGTCATACAAAGTATCTCCTCTGACCACAGTGAAATGAGATTAGAAATCTATAACAGAAGAAAAACTGGAAAATTCCCAATTTTTGTGAAAGTGAAATAACATACTCTTAAACAACTCATGAGTCAAAGAAGAAATCACAAGGGAAATTAGAAAGTACTTGGAGATGAATGAAAATGAAAACACAACATACCAAAAGCAGTGCTACAGAGGAAATTTATAGCTTTAAATGCTTACAGTAAAAAAGAGAAAGATCTCAAATGCACAACCTAACTTCACAACTTAAGGAACTAGAAAAAGAACAAACTAAACCCAAAGCTAACAGAAGGAAGGAAATAATAAAGATTAGAGTGTAAATAAGTGATAGAGAAAATTAACAAAACCAAAAGTTGTTTCATAAAAAGATTAACAAAATTGACATTTACCTAGATAAACTGAGAGAAGATTCAAATTATTTAAATCAGATATAAAAATGGGAATGTTACTACCAATTCTACAGAAATAAAAAGGATTTATAAGAGAGTACTATGAACAATTGCATGTCAACAAATTGGATAAACTAGATGAAGTGCACAGATTCCTAGAATGATAAAACCTACCAAGATTGAATCATGAAGAAACAGAAAATCTGAATAAACCTATAACTAGTAAAGATACTGCACCAGTAATTAAAAATCTTCTATAAAAGAAAGGCCCTGGACCTGACAGTTTCATTGGTGAATACTACCAAATGTTTAAATCCTTCTCAAACTTTTCCAAAAACTTGAAGAGGGAACACATCCTAGCACATTCTCTATGAGCAGCATTGCCCTGATACCAAAGCCAAAGACTCTGTAAGACACAAGACAAATCAAAACAAAACAAAAACCTGTAGACAAAAATCCCTTATGAACATTGATGCAAAAATCCTCAAAAAGAAAAAAAAAACCCAACCAAACAAAAGAAACCCCAAACTAGCAAACCAAATTTAGCAGCATATTAAAAAGATTATACCTCATGACCAAGTTGGATGCATTCCTGTATGCAAAGATGGTTTAACATATGAAAATCAATCAATATAATATAGCACATTAACATAATAAAGAAAAAATAACACAATCATCTCTATTGATGCAGAAAAAGGATTTGACAAAACTCAACACCTTTTTGATTAAAAACATTCGATGAACTAGGAATGGGAAGAAACTACCTCAACGTGATAAAAGCCATATATAAAACAGCCACCACAGACATATTCGATCATGAAAGACTGAAAGCTTGTCTTCTTAGGTCAGGAACAAGGCAAAGATGCTCACTTTCACCACCTCCATTAAACATAACACCAGAAATTGTAGCGAGAGTCATTAGGCAAGAAAAAGAAATGAAAGGAATTCAAATTGGAAAAAAAGAAGTAAAATTATCTGTTTGCAGATGCGATGATCTTTTAGATAGAAAAGCCTAAAGATTACACACACACAAAAGTGTAGAACTAATAAATGAATTCAGCAGTGTTAGTATACAAAATCAACATATGAAAATCACTTCCATTTCAAAAAAAAAGAAAATCACTTCCATTTCTATACACTAACAACGAACATTTGAAAAGGAAAGAAAACAATGCCAACTACAACAGCATCACATAGAATAAAATATGTAGGAATTAAATTAACCAAGAAGTTGAAAGACTTCTATGATGAAAACTATAAAACACTGCTGAAAAAAATTAAAGAAGACATAAATAAATGGAAAGATATCCCATGTTCATACATTGGAAGACAATATTGTTAAGATGTCAATACTTCCCAAAGCCATAAACAGATTCAATGTAATCCAAATCAAATCCCAATGACATTTTTTGCAGAAGTAGAAAAATCTATTCTAAAATTCATACAGAATCTCAAGGGAGCCCAAATAGCCAAAGAGCTGGAGGACTCACACTTCCAGACTTAAAATCTTACTAAAAGCTGTAGTACTCGAGAGTAGGGTAATGGCATAGACTGATATATAACCAATGGAATGAAGAGAGAGCACAGAAATAAATCCTCACGTATATAATCAAGTTTTTTTTCTGACAAGAGTGTCAAGACAATTCAGTGGTGAAAGGACAATATTTTCAACAAATGGTGCTGGGAAAATTGGATATCCACATGCAAAAGAATGAAGTTGGATCCTTACCTAATATCATATACAAAAATTAACTCAAAATGGATGAAAAATCTAAACATGAGATCTAAAACATTGTAGTTTTAATAAAAAAAACTTTAAGAAGAAAATGTAAGGCAAAAGCTCACAACACTGGATTTGGCAGTGATTTATTGGTATGATACCAAAGGCACAGGCAACAACATAAAGACAAATTAGACTTCATCAAAATCAAAAATGTTTGTGCATCGAAAGACACTATCAACATAGTAGAATGGCAAACCACACAGAATGGGAGAAAAGATTTGCAAATCATATATTTATTAAAGGATTAATATTTGGAGTATATAGAGAACCCCTAAAATTTAGAAACAAAAATACAAAGAACACAATTCAAAAATGGGAAAGACATATCTCCAAAGAAGATATACAAATGGCCAATAAGCACATAAAAAGAGGTTCAACATCACTAATCATTAGGGAATGCAAATTGCAATCATAAAGAGATACCACATCACACCTATTAGAATGGCTACCATAAAAAAACAAAAGAAATAAAGTGTTGGCAAGAATGTGGAAAAATACTTGTGCACTGTTGGTGAGAATGCTGCTGTGGAAAATAGTTTAGTGGTTCCTCAAAAAAGTAAACGTAGGTTAACCATATGATCCAGCATTTTCACTTCTGAGTATATACCCAAAAGAATCAACAGCAGGGACTCAGATAAATATTCACCCATATTCATAGCAAACTTACGCACCATAGGCAAAATATGGAAGCAACCCAAGTGTCTATCAATGGATGAATGGATAAACAAAATGTGTTCTAATCATACGATAGACTATTATTCAGCCTTAAAAAGAAAGGAAATTCTGACACGTGCTACACTGTGGATGAACCCTGAAGACATTATGCTAAGTGTAATACGTCAGTCACAAAATGACTATATGATTTCATATCTATGATGTACCTAGAGTAGTCAAAATCATAGGGACAGAAAGTTGAATGCTGGTTTCCAGGGGCTTGGGAAGTAGGAAAATGGGGACTTATTGTTTAATGGGTACAGAGCTTCAGTTCTGCAAGACGAAAAGAGTTCCAGAGATTGATGATGGTGGTAGTTGCACAACAGTACAAATGTGCTTAATACCACTGAACTGTACATTTAAAAATGGTTAAGATAGTTTTATGGTTAAGTTAAGTTTTATGTTATGTATATTTTACCTTAATGGAAAAAAAAATGTATGTGCTAAAGGATCTAGCAGGTGATGGGCACTCAGCCATTATCACCTGCTGCCCCAGGCGCTTCGTGAACCAGCCAGTTCACATCTTTCACCTGTGGCACTCTGCACCTTGTCCTGAGGTTCTCTTTTATCACTTTCAGATGAAATAAGGGAAACAGAAGAGGAGGAAACTGAATTATTTGAAGGTCTGTCAAGTCAACAGATCTTCCTCTGGCTGCAAGGACTATTCCTCTTTTCCTTGGTGTGGACCGTGGCCGGCACCATCCACGCGGACTGCAGAAAGAAATTTGATCTGTTTTTCCGCAACCTGATCATGGGCATGGATGATAACCACCCAAGGCCCAAAAGTGTCAAACTCACCAAAAACAACATCTTTCCAGAAAGAGGTAATTTAGTACCTGTTTGTTATTTCCTACTATAATAGCTTGAATCATGTGTTTTAAACCCAACCAGAATATGTGAACCACATAAGCCCTTTACAAAAGCCAAGGAAAATTTTGTAGCTTTCCTACAAAAATGATATGACAGCTTTATTTTTGCAAAAAATTACCCAAATTCAGAAAATACAGAGAAGGGAATAGAAGAAAATTAAAATCAAAGGTAATCCCACTATCTAGAAATATCACTTTTTATGTTTTTTTCTTTTGTTTTTTCTATATTTCTATACATAAAAAAAGATCATACTGTAAATACCTTCCAAATAGCTTTACTTTTTTGTGATTGTAAAAAAAAAGATATGAAGGACCACGAGAGAACTTCCAGGGCTGATAGTAATGCGTCATGTATTAAGAATGATCTGGGTTACACAGATACGTGTATGTGCCAAAACTTAGTGAATGTATGCTGCACTCCATTGTATGTAAGTTTTATATCAAAAGAAAAAAACACATAAACAAATACTGAACCCTATTTATGGGGAAGTATATAGATGTTTACAATCTATTTTGAAATGTTCTAAAAAAAAAGATGGATTAATGGATGGATAGAGGATGAGTAGGTATGTAATAAAAGAAGTAAAAAGCTAATGGTAAAATGTAGGAGGCAGGTGCACATATGTTAACTGTACAATGCTTCTAGTGTTTTTGAAATTTTTTTCTTTTTTTAAATTTTTCACAATAACAGAACAATGAAGCAGGTGTCACTGCTCCCCAACCCACACACCTTTCCCTTGCATGCCTGGCACACTTCACGTGATGCATGGTCATTTGTCAGGTGACTGCATGGAGGCCCTGTATCAATTCATTAGTTAGATAGTGGCATATTCATTTTTTTTTCTTGGTTTGGAAGATTTTGCTTGTTTTTTTATTATGATGAGATATACATAACATAAAATTTACCTTTCAGTCAGCAAAGAAAGATTTTATTCTTTGGCTTCCATATCTATCATTTCCTCTTTCCTTATTTTTGTATTTTTGCCCTTTCTAGGTGGTCTTTTCATTTTTTGTTGGGTGTTTTTTTTTTTTTTTTTTTTTTTTTTTTTCCAACTGGCCAATAAGGGGATCTGAACCCTTGACCTTGGTGTCAACAGCACCACGCTCTCCCAAGTGAGCTAACCGGCCAGCCCAGTCTTTTCATTTTAGTATCAGCCATGTACCACTGCAGCTATTCTCTTTACTTCCTTAACTGATTTCAGTTCTGCTTTTGTTTCTTTTGTTTCCTTGCCATTCTTTCTTAGTGTAAGGATTAAAAGCAGAAGCCATGGAATAAAATGTCAGAGTTCAAATCCTGGCTCCAGCACTAACTAGTTGGTGGCCTTAAGCAACTCTCTTAACCCCTCTCAGTTTCCTCAGTTACAAATGGGGGCAATAATAGAACACATTCATGGTGTTGTTCTTGTGAAGATTAAAAAATACTTAGAATAAAGCATAACATGTAGACAGTGTTAAATAAAAACTAGCAATTTTTATTGCTGCCATCATCATCGTCTCTGTTACATCGTTCATCTCACTTTGTATCTCGTTGTGCCTTTACATCTCAGTCTGTTTTCTCCTTAAAGCTTTCCCTTTCTACTTTGATGTATTTCTGTACCTTACTGAGTAAATTTGGTTTAAAATCCCACATTAAACAAGTTTCAGAGACGTATTCTTCAGGCTAATCTCCATATTGTGTTCCCATACATTGCAGTATTTTCTCACAGGTTCCACATGTTGTCTTCTGCTTTCCTCATCTTTTTAGATCAATCTGTTCATGCTCTGTGTCCACAGAGATAGGACATGAGTTGCCCTTGACCCCACACTTGGTCCAGTTTGTGACGACATCCTTCATTCCCCCAGCGATGAGCACAGCTCCCACTTTCCCCCGTAATGTCTTCTGTCTTCTGTGATGGCCTCATCTCCTGCCTCCATGTCCTACTCAGCCAATGTGGCATTAGACAGACCATCATTCTCAGCATGCACTGCACACTGGCTTCTTCATTTATCTTCTTTCACAGCAGCTGCTCTACTTAGAAGTAGGTTTGGTTCAGGAAAGGCTGTTGGTAAGAATAAAACGACACAAGTGACCGACGTGGACATGTCCATGGAAAGTTAAGCTTTACTTTTGTCTTCATGGTAAACATATACTTCTCTCTTCCTGCTAGTTTTCAAAATCCTTACTGCTTTTGGAATTCATCAAGGTAAATAATATTCATAGAACACCTTTATGGTGAACCAAACACTGTGAACTCTGCTCTAGATGAAGGAGCAACGGGATGGCAAGACCCAGTGACCACATGTGATCAACTAATGCCGTCTGTTGAAAGCAGCCTTTTCTATTTGTGTCATCAACAGAGGGGCTCTGTGGCTCTTCTCTTTGGAGGGTCACACCTCACTGAATTTAAGGTGCCACGACCACCTCCTTCTTACTCATTGCTACCCTCTCAGCTCTAGAAAGATGGCCTACCAAGGGGGGTGAAAAGATGATGAGACGGCCCTCCCAGATCAGCATCTGGCTGGCCGATGAACGGCTGACTGATTTTCTGTGCAGTATGCAGCCTGAGTCTCCAGGCGGCCACTGGGGAGGGACCCTGTAGATTTGTCTGTCTTTCCTCATGCAGTCTTTTGAAGAAGATTCTTTCTCAATCCAGCTCATCTGCTTTCTAATTAGAAGAGATTTTGCCCAGATCCTTTTAGTTTTTGTTTTTAGCAACATCATTCCTTTCTTTTTTTCTCCTGTGCCTTTGTAATTATCTTAGAGGGAAATTGGGAAGCTCCTAGCCAGAGCCCATTTGAATCAAAAGGTATGTTTTTAAGTGCTGAATATGCTTTCTTTCTTATGTATATAACAATTTCACGGAGATATAATTTACATACCATAAAATTTACACATTTAACTGTACAAATCGATGGTTTTTAGTACATTTACCTAGTTGTGCAACCATCACCATAGTCCAGTTTTAGAACATTTTCATCACCCCAATAAGATGCTTCATGCCTATTTTTAATTAGTATCTGTTCCCATTCTCAGCCGCATTCGATCACTAATGTACTCTCGATAGATTTGCCTTTTCTGGACATTTCATGCACTCATTCATGGAATTATCTAAAATGTGGCCTCTTTGCTTTGATTGTGCTTTCTTATAACCATCTTTAAAAGATTAACATGCCTTTTTAGCCTTTGCACAAGGGCCCAGGGTTAAAATTCTAATGTTGAGAGCTCGAGAAAGGCCATCCCTGATTTCATGGAACATTATTTTCTGGACTTTTCATGATCTAGGAGACATGGCATAAATAAATCTCTCAAATAAATGCTGGAGGAACTACATTGGGGAGCGTACATTAAAGAAAGCAAGCAGAACTTTGGGAGATTCTCTCAAGGTTGGGTTCACATCATCTGACATAGATCCTTGTTTGTCAATCCAGGGATTTATTTGTCTAGAAAATGCTAAATTTCTCTTTTTTACCCATGTATTGTGTACCCTTTGAAAAGTCACTCACTTCTCAATTGAGAAGTTCACCTTATTCTCCAAGTGCAGGAGAGGAAAACAGATCTGGGTGGGGTGTAGTCAGAGGAAATAGAAGTTATATGTCTTCCTGGATTTCTGCTATTCTCTCCTTTCCACCCTTACACCCTGACCAGAATCTGAGTTATAATCATAATCAGAACTCAGAGAGAACAGGAGCCATTACTCTGGTGAGAATCAAAGAGACTAGATCTTAATGTTACCTCCTGCCTTTCTATGTGCTATGCTAAATGCTTGGTATGTGTATCTTGTTTACTCTCTACTGTGATTTTTCTAAGCTCAACATAAAATCAGACCCATTTTACATATGTGCAAAAGGTAACCTTGGCCAAAGTCACACAGCTGGTAAATCCACTTTTACTCAGTTAAATCTTTTTTCTTTGGCCTAAATGTTCCTGAATGAAGCCACCAATAAGCTCTAGCTCAACATCAGCAAGGGAAGGGGGAAAAATACTTTACTGATTTATGCTTTCGGTGTTCCCTTTTTTACTGTAAAAGCAGTTTAAGTCTATTAAAGAAAAATGATCAAAAAGCATCTCTTTGTTCATACCATCCTATCACAGGTATTTCAGTTTTCAAAAAATATTTTCCCTTTCTTGTTCACCTGCATTCATCTTTTTACGTAGTTGCCATAATGGTATATATTCCAATTTTTTGTTCTATTTTCATCTGTCATTGTTTCTTAAAAGCATTTTCTATGTTAATACTTAGTTTACACAACCATTATTTTAATGAATGAAAAATATTCCATCTGTCTTACTGGTCTACTAGCACAGGACATGTAAGTTATTTCTTTGCTATCACAGATGGTGTTGTATGCTCATGTGCACAGATTATTTTCATTGTGACTTATTTCCTTATGATAAATTCCCACAAATGGGATTTCTGACTTAGAGTAGAGAACATTTTTGTAGCTCTGTAAGCATAGTGGCAGATTGCTTTCTAAAAATGTTGTATGGATTGACTTTTAAGTAAAGTTGCAGAGTGATGTAGGATAACAGAAGCTCCCTTCTTTAATACCCAATAAAATTAAACGAAAATGTTTTAATCCTAAAATTCTCCAGCAACAACCAAAAAAAGAATTACAGCTTAATTCCTTAAACATTAAAAAGTGGTGCACAGGGAGAGAACAAAAGATTCTGGTATGGTACATTTCCCAACTCAGAACCTGCCACCCCACTCTCTTGATAAGAGGGATGCAGAGAGGAAAGGAGGTGAGTCGCCAGAATCTGAGAGTTCTCCCTGGTCATCCCCAATGTGGAGAAAAGTGGATTATGATGGTGGCTTTGCAGCTGCCAAAAAGAGAAACCCTTAATCATGGAAGTGCCTGATAATGCTGAAGGATTTTAGTAGGGGTGGGAAAAACTACCAGGGTTTGCATCTTCCAGAGCCTAGGCTGAGTAGGGATGTGAGCTGAATCTTGCAGGGGTGGGGCATGTAGGTAGCTGGGATGGGAGTGGGATGGGCCCATGGTTCAGAAAAATTGGCCAAATGTCAGAGAGAGTGTGCAGAGTTCAGATTTCCCAGCAAGGACAACTGAGTGTTTCCCATTCCCCAACTTTTGTAGCCTGAGGCTACAGAAAAGAAAGCCACACACCAATCCCTGAATTGTGGCCAAGAAAGTAGGTTGGATAAGCTGGCCCCAGATAACACTGAGAAAGATGTCAAGAAGAATTTACCCAGTTATATCAGAGCAAAAATGGTATGGTGATTGTGCAGGCATCAGAGAGAGAGGGAGAGAGAATCTGATAGAAAACACGACCCAAGAAAACAAGCTATTCCTGTTGAAAGAATTTAGTAATAATTGGAATTTAATTTTTTTGAAGCTCATAGATGAATAGTATGATATGCTGACAAAAGGATAGATATAACAATTAATTGAATAGAACTGAGAGACCAGGAAAAGCTTCCACATTTATGGTGACTTGATTTTTCACAATGGTGCCAAGATTCAACAAATGGTGCTAGAACAACTGAATATATACCTGTGAAAGGATAAATTTGGAACTCTACCTCACACCATAGTCAAAAATCAACTCAAAATAGATCAAAGACCTAAATATAAGAGCTAAAATTATAAAACTCTTAGAAGAAAACACAAGTACAAATTTTTATGACCTTGGAATAGGCAATGGTTTCTTAGAACACTAAAAGCACAAGCAACAAAAGAAAAAAACTGACAAACTAGACATCAGTAAAATTAAAAATTTTTGTGCTTCAAAGGACAATATCAAGTGAAAAGACAACGCACAGAATAGGTAAAATTTTTTACAAATTATATATCTTATAAGGGACTTATATCTAGAATATATGAAAATATTACAAGTCAATAATAAAAAGACAACACAATTTAAAAATGGGCAAAGAATCGGAATAGACAATTCTCCAAAGAAGATATAAAAAGGGCCAATAAGTATATAAGATGCTCAGTGTTATTAGTCATCAGAGAAATGCAAATTGAAACCACAATGAGATACTACTCCACAATAACTAGGGTGGGTATCATTTTAAAAATGGAAGCAGGTGTTGGCGACAACGTAAGATAATTGGAACCTTCACATACTGCAATGGGAGTGTAAAATGGTGCAGCAGTTTTGGAAACAGGCATTTGGCAGTTCCTCAAAAGTTAAACATAATCCAGATGTCCACCAATGGATGCATGGTTAGGTAAAATATCCATACAATGGAAAATAATTCAGCAATAAAAAGAAATAAAGTACTTGATACGTGCTACGACATGGATAAACCTTAAAAACATAAGAGAAGCTAGTCACAGAAGAACACATATTATATGATACCATTCATATGAAAGGTACAGAACAGGCAAATCTATAAAGACAGAAAGTAGATTAGTGGTCGCCTACTGCTGGGGGAGGAAGGATTTGGGGGTGATGGCTAAGGTGTACGAGGGTTCTTTTTGGTGTAATAAAAAGTCCTAAAATTGATTGTGGTAATGATCTCACAACTCTGTGAATATTAATATTTTAACATAAACATATATTTTGAGTAAACCGGTGAATTGCACGCTTGATGGTTGAATTATACAGTATGTGAATTATATGTCAATAAAGTTGTAGAAAGTTTATAGATAAGGTGATAATATTACAGAATTAGAGGAATAGAGGGACTGAAGAACCAAAGAAACAAGTTGAAAACCCAATAATTCCATTAATGATCTAATAAGTAAATAAGAGTCAGCAAGAATAAAGTATAGAAGGCTAGACATATAATAAATGGCTTTGAGGAAAGATTTGAGATAATTACACATACTGTAGAAGACATAGACATTAACACAATCAGAGAATATGATATGGAAACCAAACTATGCTAATTCCTTCAGTAGGAAGCCCAATAAATAGAATAGACAATATATCCAAAGATATAAATGCACACATTTTTCTTAAAAGGAAGAACTGTTTCTACAAATTATGAGAGTATGCTATGTTTCAAAAAACGGATATAGAATAATTGACCAAAAGATACAACCTGATTAAATTATTGGACTTCCAGGATAAAATTCCATGAGGCAACTAGATGGGGGAAAAGTCAATAAGGGAGAAATAGCTCACAGCCTCAGCTTCTGTACAGCAACTTTAAATGCAAGAAGTTAAGATAGAGCAATGTCTGCAAACTTTGAAGGGAAAGAAAAACATGACATGAATATTACTCTCAGCTACGTCGCTGTTAAAATACAAGAGCAGCAGGCAGACATTCTCAAACACGCAAGAACTGAGAGAATTGAGTGCCTGTAAGCCCCTTCTTGAAAAAAAAATATATGAAATAAGCCAACTAAGAGATGAATCAAAATAAAGAACTCTTAAATGGTCTGTGTCAAAAGGCCTGAGTGAGCATTGAATTTATTTAAATACAGACCTAAGAGTAAGGAATGGGGAAATTATGGTTGCAGACCAAATTATGAATGTTACAAACCCTGACAAAGTAAAAGTCGTATCATTAACTACAGCGAAAGGAGCCAGAGGAGGACAGGTGGAAAGAAGAGGGAGAGTTAATCACCTCGTAGTTTGTAAAGGAATCCATGAAATTGGTCTAAAATTGAATTACGTATGTATTTACAAATAAGATGATGTGATGTCAGGATTTGCTTTAAAATACTCCAGACCAGAAAAAAAAGAAGGAAGGAAGAAGGGAGGATGGATGGATGGAGGAAGGAAGGAAGGAAGGAGGGAAATGAATACGGTGGTGGGGAAATGGACGAGGAAAGAATTGCAAAACGATAATTGTTGAAACTGGATAATGGGTACATGATGGTTAATTATCTATTCTTCTTACTTTTGCATATTTAAAATTTTTTTCATGGTAAAAGGTTAAAAATACAATAACAAAATTGAATGAAATGATTTTTTTTAAAAGGCATGACGCTAACTCCTTAAAGGCTTAAATTATTTTTTTTAATTAAGAAGCATCTTTTCAGAACCAGTGTAGTGAACAATGATGCATCAGGAATTCAGCAGGTCCTTCCATTTTTGTTTTGGTCTCCTTTCCTTCTGCTAGATCTAGGTAAAAATTAAATTTAACATATTTATTTAAAAATGGTATATGTCGGGCCGGCCCAGTGGCGCACTGGATAGTGCGCCGCTTAGGAGGCGCGGCAGCGC